GTGAAAAGGCTTAATCAATGTTTAGTTGATTTCTGTCCCACCAGATGGCGCTCTGTTATCAGAAAAGCATATGTGCTCCTGATCAGGATATGCCTTTTATATTTTTAATATCAACACCTGACCTTCTTATTTTTTATTTTTCCATTATTTTTTCACATATATAAGAATGAATATAATTTTTTCACATTTATAAGAATGATTATAAAATTATATTGACGAGAAAGAAAGAGAGAGATTGCAAGTCAATAAATTTTATTATTCTAGAGCCTGTTGTAGTACTCACGTGACATTAATACAATTATTTTTATATCTTTCGTGTCTGAATATCAAACCACAGAAGATAGCTGTGAACTATAATAACGTCGGTCGAATTAAGACAGACTAAATATTTACCTTATAATTTCAAATGGATATTCTAGGTATATAGATTGTAGCAGAATGCCTTAGATGTTGTGCCTGGTAAAATAATCACATACAAATGGTCATTTTAAATATTGCTTGCAGAAGGATGCCTTAGCAGAGGTTGTGCCTGCTAGTAGAATCAAATGGACAGTCTAGGTATTGCTTGCATAAGAATGCTTTAGAAGAGGTTGTAACTGATATACGGAAAATATAGCCAGTGCTATATTTGTGCCAGAAGAAAGTTTTAGAAGATGTGCGTGGTAGAGAAAGAGATAGAAGTTCAGAAGATGTACGTGGTAGAGAAAGAGATAGAAGTTCAGAAGATGTGCGTGGTAGAGAAAAAGATAGAAGTTCAGAAGATGTGCGTGGTAGAGAAAGAGATAGAAGTTCAGAAGATGTGCGTGGTAGAGAAAGAGATAGAAGTTTAGAAGATATGCGTGGTAGAGAAAGAGATAGAAGTTTAGAAGATGTGCGTGGTAGAGAAAGAGATAGAAGTTCAGAAGATGTGCGTAGTAGAGAAAGAGATAGAAGTTCAGAAGATGTGCGTGGTAGAGAAAGAGATAGAAGTTCAGAAGATGTGCGTGGTAGAGAAAGAGATAGAAGTTCAGAAGATGTGCGTGGTAGAGAAAGAGATAGAAGTTTAGAAGATGTGCGTGGTAGAGAAAGAGATAGAAGTTTAGAAGATGTGCGTGGTAGAGAAAGAGATAGAAGTTTAGAAGATGTGCGTGGTAGAGAAAGAGATAGAAGTTTAGAAGATGTGCGTGGTAGAGAAAGAAGAGCTCGCAGCATGACGTTTTATAAAGTGCTTCGTTTTGACGAAGAAAAAAAAGAAAGGAAGAGATTTCAAATATTTAAGATGATAAAGAAGGAACTGCCATATTACCTAGTGAAACAAATGACCAATAACCGAATTGAATGAATAAACATGATAGCCATATATGAACATGAGTTAAACTCGTTAAATAGAGGGTTAATTTCGTTATTAATATAATTCAAACGAACAGAACCAAAATATATATTCCTATCTCAATTTAAAGGTATAAGCTGTTTTTTCCAGAAAATCAATATTTTGATTTATTAATTTTAACAAAAGGTATTCGTAATAAATTCAATCGTGAAAAGACAAAGGAGGGAAAAAAAGCAGAAGATAAAGTACACACCTAATTAGTGTAAAATAAACATAGTAAACAAATGTATGTTTTAAAATAATTAATATTAATTAGCAATGTAATTAACCCTAATGAGAATTTACTTGGTGTTCAGCCACATTCATCAAAGCAGAAAGATGACTAGAGTAGAACTGGGAGAAAATATGGGGTAAAATAGGTTAAATATTAATATGTGTGAAATGTTAGACAAGATGGCGGACAATTAGTAGAATTTCCAATTAAAGGATTGACCCACTATTGTAATTATCTAACCCATGAATTTCCGTACCCAATTTATAGGGGTGAATGTAAAAAAATAGGAGAGCCACTGTTCCCAGACTTAATCGCTTTTTTGGCGTCTTTATTTCTCCGTAATTATCAGTGAGTACTTCTTTAGTTGGCTTTGTTAGGACGGCCGTATCTTGGGATTGTTATATGTGGCGTTATAGGGCTATTGTTGTGGAAGATGTTTTTCTATCGTTAAATTGTTTTAATAATAACCGGGTTTCTATGTGAAATATATTGTTTATAATGCGCGATCCGTTTATTCTTTTTTTTATTATCCCTAGTACAAATGGTACAGGCCATGATAATCATGGTAGGCAATTGTTGTGGAAAACGTTTTCATATCGTCAAATTGTTTTTAATGAGAACCAGGTTTGTATGTGAAATATATTGTTTATAATGCGCAATCCGTTTATTATTATTTTTTATTATGCCAAGTATACATGGTATAGGCCATGATAATCCTGATAGGTAGAAGTTGGCGACTGCTTTTACTATAAGTGTACCACATGTCTACACATGTGAAAATCAGTTTGAATTTGCACTTTGTTTATTCATGTATAAATACTACGAGTGCAAGGCGTATTTATATCAAAATAAAATAAAAAATAAACAAAACTTATGAAATTTAAAACAAATTTGAAGCCTTGAACTCATAGTATTTATACATGAATTAACAAAGTGCAAAGTCGAACTACTTTTCACTTGTTTAGACATGTTGTACACTTACAGTAAGTGCAGTCGCCTACTTCTACCCATCATGACTATCACAGCCTGTACCACGTGTACTGAGATGGATTCAAGCAATCTTTTGATGTTACAAAAGTGGTCGTTCTGGGAGGTCGATGGTCTCTTCTTGTATAGGTTGTACTGTATCACACACACACAAAAGCCTTTATTAGGGACTTGCCCCATACAGATTATCCCGATTAGGTAAGGTAATAATCATCTTGTGTTATTTACATAGAAATTGAACTGGCTTTACTCTTCGTCTTAAAGTCATTCAATTGTTGACTGGTCTTTACATAATGATGATCTAAAATATTTATAGTAAGCTACACGTGTACTGAGATACATACATTTGAATATATGGCGTATTTTGCGTGGAAATTTTTGTGTAAATGCAAAACTTTGTAAATTTGGTTTATATATGAGGATATTCATTCATATGTGAAATATATAATTGTACGTGGGAGAGTTGTTTTGGGTAGAATTGTTGTACACCAGAGATATTTTTTATCAAATTCTAGTGTAAAGAAGAATATTGTAGTTGGTATAACTTTCGATATTATCCCCGAGAGAATGATTTCATTTTTTTTTTATCTGCCTGTGACCCAAAAAAAAAAAATAAGGAACACATATTCACAATTTGTATGATTGAAGCCTCTAAAATCAAAATAATTATTTTATATAAATACCTTTACGTTCTTATATATTAAATGTTGTTTGCTATATCGAAACAGTATTAAATCAGGCCAGAAGTAAGTGTTTTATTTGAAAAAGAAACTAAAATATTCTGCTAAAAATAATTTATTTAATTTTGTATATAGATTGAACGATAATGCCATAAAATTAGAAATTATTTTTTTCACATATATATTTTTAATATCCTATCTCACCTTCATCAAAATACAGTTTTGATTAAAATAGTATTATAACCCTATTTATATTTTTGTCACAGATTAAAGTAAAACTTCTGATAGAATCAATTTTAATAAAAAAAATACCAAAAGATAATATAGAATGTGATATACGTCTATTTTCATCAACACTTCAACTTCCGAAAATAAACACTTCAATGGTACTAGAAAAATATTTCACATGAAAAAAATCAGCATCAAGTTATTACAAACATAAAATAAACATTCTACCATCGAGTAACAAAATAACTTCTAGCCTATAATTAATTTGGCGACAGAATATAAAAATGGTTGTAAGTTTTCCTTTCTTTAATGACATCCTTCATAAAATATGAAATGGTTTCTAGAAATTATTATATTCATGGTTGCTGAGCTTTGAAAACAAAATTGTTAACATAAATCAAAGATCTTCTAAAAAACGATGTCGATTAGAAATTTTGATGAGAAACTTTGTTATAATGACAGTTATTCATAGAGATTGAGAACTTTTCTGATAAATTTCCCAAATAGAGATTATAAAGATAGAAGTTTATATTTCTTTCTACTTTAGTAACTGTATTAAAATATAGAACGCGTCTGTTTATTTATCAATTACATTTTTATATTTATGATAATAATAATGTGGGGGAAAATAGTACAAAAATGCGATATTGTACTGGGATAAGGTGCATAATTTAGTTAAGAAAAAGCGGCATCTCCTTATCGGGCAAGAGAAAGTTGCTGATAGCTTGCGCCATCTATCGGAATAAATACCAACTATTTGTTTATTTTATTATTAAATATTCCAGAATTTGCCAAATACACATATATTCTTGAGTAGTAAAAATAGCTAATTCTGTAATAATTAAAAATCAAGGAATAGTTTATATTAATTCCGATAGATGGCGCAAGCAACTTTCACTTTCCCGATAAGGAGATCCTCTTTTTTTCTTTTATAATAATGTAGCGTGGTTTATTTGTTATTTACATAATTTCATTTAAAAAAGTCGGTGGACGAGTGGGTAACACCCTCGATTCCCGACAGCCATGAACCGGGATCCCGCGTTAACATTTTGTTTAATATGTGAATATCCTTCACATAATATTCACTGTTTCAATTATCATAAACTAGGTTGTTCTTGTTGAGCGGTACCTAATAAAGTGATTTTGAACCGGTTGAAACATAATTTCAAGTTTTATATTTTATTATATTTACATAGTTTAGCTAGAATTTTGTCATTGCTGTATAAATGTGCGTAGCTACAATTTTAGACCGTTGTTACCTTTCCTCATGGCTATTTTTCAACGCAACAATAACTACTACAATATATATATGAGTAAGATTATTATAAAACGATATATATATTTTATAAAAAACTGCGGCGTATGATTATAAAACAACACTTAAAGTTTCACCGCATAAGTTTCTTTTCTGTGAAAAATCAATATTTATTTCAAAGAGAAATATTTACTATTTCTAACTTTTTTGGATGAAGTATGAAAGGGTGAAAATATGAAGAGTAATGGCGAACGGAAAAATAAAAGTGTCCAGGGGCGGGACATGGCATCTGCCCGGTAAGCGGAAGGTTGTGGGTTCGATTCCCGCCCCTGGACACTTTTATTTTTCCGTTCGCCATTACTCTTCATATTTTCACCCTTTCATACTTCATCCAAAAAAGTTAGAAATAGTAAATATTTCTCTTTGAAATAAATATTTGATTTTTCACAGAAAAGAAACTTATGCGGTGAAACTTTAAGTGTTGTTTGATATATATATTATTTAGGTAATTAAAATTTAAAATTTTGTATATTAAATAAATAAATATTCTAATATAAATTATATATTTTTTTTTATGCTAGAGGCTACAATATGTTCTCATAACAAAAAAAAAATAAAAATAATAATCCAGAATATAATGACATTTTCTTTATAAAATACTTTCAACAGAACAATTTCTCTCTCTTTTAGATAATATCATATAAACCTTTATATATACATAGAACTAGACAATATATTCCAAGATACAATATTGTTCCACTCAGAACATTTTTTAATTGATCAAAATATTATTTACATATTTTGATACTCAGCATATTTCTCTCATTGTCTCTGTTTTTCAAGTGTAAATAAGTTGGTAATATTTTCAAATATATAAATTGCTTTGTCATTCCAATGTTTTTTTCCTCATTTTCCACTTGACAATATTCATTAAAATATATTTATCTAAAAGATAAGAATAAAACAGCTCTGAAGATATATTTCTTTATTTATACAAAAAGCAAATCCCCCCCCCCCCCCCCCCCCCCCAAAAAAAAAACAGAGATTTTGAGATGTATTGCTCTCAGCTATTCGATGTGGCACCTTGCCCAATCAGAGAACAGCGATGCCATACCTTAGAAAATACCCTTTTTTCTTATCAAACTGTAAAATCTAATATAAAGATAAGAAATAAAATTACAATGGACAAACCAGAGAAAAATATCAGAAGAATATACATATTATATTAAAATAATATTTTATTTTAAATTATATTTCATAGATTCAAATATTCTGTTATATCGACCGCCAGAGGTTACGCTTCGCCTATAAAAACTCATTGTTGTTGTTTCCCGATGGCCGGCTCGAATCTTTTGTAAATTATGTAAATAAGTTTATTTTTTTATTCTTATATATTCCTTAAGCCAGGCAGTACCTTTATCAAATTATGTTTTTCTATATTCCATAAGCTCAATTAAAGCTATTTCTGATCTTTACTATTTTTATTATACTTTCAAGATTTTAACCACGACTGCATTACCATAGCATAATTCTCAAGATAATCAAAAATCAATAGAAATCTCATTATTATTTATAATATATATAAGATTGATGATAAAAATAAAGATACAATTTTTTCTTGTTTGATTTATGACCAATAAGTATATACTCCAAATGAAGGCCTTATTACCTCACTGTACGTATCTCTCGTATTACTGTACGTATATCTCATCAAACCGTATAATAAAACGTTTATCTTTATTAAATATTTTGATTCAAAAGGCGATCCATCTATTAAGTTTATATAAAATGTGGTGCCTGGATCTGTAAAGAAAAAAAAATTTCTTAAAATATATTTAGAGATATTGTTTCCTCTTTATCAATTTACTTTTACTGTGCATTAAATTGATAAAATAGGAGCAATCTCTCGAAATATTTTGAGATAAAATTGTTTTTTTTTCTTTACAGATCCAGGTACGTTCTTTTATATAAACTGTATTAAATATGAAAAATAGTACAAATGTGATATTGTACTGGGATAAGGTGCATAAATTATTAAAAAGGCATCTCCTTATCGTGCAACTGAAAGTTGCTGATGGCTTGCCCCATCTATCGGAATAAATATAAACTAATCGTTGATTGTTAATTATTCCAGAAATGACGTTCTCACGCCCTTCCGGCATAAATACCTGTTTCATGGTTTTTAAAGATGCCCCAGAGACCAGCCTTTTTGGTCGTTGAGATACAGCTTGCACCACGCTGACGAGGGCCAACAGCCCGAATCGCGTACGTGGTTAGCTTTTCTTGATTGATCAAGGAACGATATCTGGCCAATTCTGGAATAATTAAAAATCAACGATTAGTAGATATTTAATCCGATAGATGGCGCAAGCCATCAGCAACTTTCAGTTGCACGATAAGTAGATGCCTTTTTCTTAATGTATTAAATATGTTGAATATTAACATATTAATCTTCAACCATAATAATCTGTGACTTGATAATCTGTGGTGTAGAGTATGTATATATATTCAATCTAATATAGATTTCTAGGAGGTGTGAGAGGTAATTTATATAAATATTGTTAGAGAGAGAAATGGGTAATTTTTCACAATAAGGCTAACTCAAATATATATAGAAATTTATATAATTAAAAGAGCAAATATTGGATCAAAATATAATTTATTTTATCAATATTTCAGTTGGCTGAACGCCAACCTTTTTCAAGGTATTATAACATTAAAAAAAAAAAGTGTAATTTTATAATACCTTGAAAAATGTTGGCGTTCAGCCAACTGAAAAATTGGTAAAATAAATAATATTTTGATTCAATATATGCCTTTTAAATTAAATATTTATTTATGGCTTGCTCTATTTTCAAAAAAATAGAAATTTATGTTTATTTAAATACTTTATTTTGTACCTATCTCTCTTAATAAAGCATATGTTTATTTTAAAGTAGTAATAATTGAGATCCGCCCAACAAAATACGCCTATATTCCTATATGTGTATTTATTTAAGTAAGAATAATTGTTTGGTAAAAAAGCGCCATTTATGCATATATAATAAATAAAAATATTAAGCACAAATTTTTATTATTCAAACGAGGAAAACAAACTTTATACTTAAGAAAAATACATCTCCTTATCGTGCAACTGAAAATTGCTGTTGGCTTGCGCCATCTATCGGAATAAATATCAACTATTCATTGATGTTTAATTATTCCAGAATTGGCCAAATACACATTCTTGATTAATAAAGAAAAGCTAACCGCGTACGCGTTTCGGGCTGTTGGCCTTCTTCAACGTGGTGCAAGCTGTGCCACAACGACCAAAAAAACTGGTCATTCAAGGCATCCTGAAAAATCATGAAACGGGTAGTTAAGGCCAGAATTGCGTGAGACCACAAAACAATGTCAAAAAAAAGATACAAATGTGATATTGTACTGGGATAAGGTTCATAAATTAAGATAAGGAGATGCCTTTTTCTTAATTTATGAAACTTATCCCAGTACAATGTTACATTTGTACTATTTTTTCAAATTCATACTGTTATACTGCGATGGAAATAATATAGGAAAAGGATGGTTCATCAGTAATGAAACCCTCAACAGTTCTACAATTTAATCTAATAAACCGATTTTACCTCTAAGTTTTTTTTTTATATAAATTTTTAATCACTATTTTTTTTTGTTATTAAAATAAGTGTGTTTGTATTTTTAATTTGTATTAATTTCTAATGGTAGATATTTAGTGTTTCTAATCTAATTGTTAATTACTTTTATTAATATATAATCATAATTACTTCTCTTTGGAAATTTTCTTTGATGATCTACACTGGAGGGTCAGGATTTAGCCATGTTCGTATCTGCCCTCCGAATGTATAGACTTTACTTAGAAAGTATTTTTATTTATCCTTACTTGAAATACTGTTTCTAAGAAACCAGAATATTCCTATTACAATTTTAAGCCACCATCTATACTCTTAATATGTCTTCCCAGGCCCTCCGAGTAAACCTGTGGCGTTGACCGGTCACTTGACTAGTCTTAAACAAAAATATTTTAAAAAGTAATTATTCAATTGATTCTGTGGCCATTGGACATGCGTCACCTTCTGAGCTAACTGGAGTATAGGAGCTCTATCTATGCTTCCTTCCTGGGGTGAATCTGTATAAGACTGGTGTTCTTAATAAAGCTGTATGTGTGTGTAATTATAAAAATAAAATACATTATAATATGCATATTATTTAATTTCTTTCTATATATATATATATATTTTAAAAAATTCAATAATTTTTAAATCATTTAAATTATATTTTTTAAAAAGATATATGTTTAAACACAATTTTGTTCAAAATTTCGATTCTTTCAATTTAAAAAATATTTATATTTTGCAATTAAATTTTTAAATTATACAGGACGTAAGTTTTAAATAAAATTAAAATATTTTACCAGAAGATAAGAAGAGAGAGCGGGAAAAATTTAAATTTTAAATTTAGAAGCAGAAGATTTGCTCAGGAAAGTATTTCTTATGAGTAAATTCCTTAAAATGATGACAGAATCTTTTAAAACTGAAATATTATTTTACCAGAAATATTCTAACTGGAAAAAAATACATTACGTATTCATTTAAATAGCCTTTAGGCAAAAGTGATTTCCTATATTTTAAATAATACATTATTTAGTGACAATCATTTGGAATTCTTTTAAAAATAAGAACCCCTTACTCTCACATATGTCTGTTAGAAAAGATATTTATAACCAATAGATAAATTTAAAAAACTATTTTAAGCATTTCATTTTTACTTAAGTCTAAATGTCAAACAACTAAAAAGCTGTTTTAATTATTTTATTTCCCTTAGAGCTTAATGCAACATTTTTAATACATTATATTATTGTTCTTAAATCAAAATAGTACACATAAATTAATATATAATTTAAAGGTAGGCGGATAATCCAAAATTATTTTTACAGTTTTCACGTTTTTATGTGAATTAATTAAAATGTTATATTTTCTAATTTTAAATTTTAATCCATATATACATAAATAGAAAATAAAACCAGGAGTTTTACCAGGAGTAAATGCTTTTTAGATCTAAAAATAAACACCTGGCCTTTTTATTATTATTTTTTTCATATACCCAAATTTAATATGAATATATAAATGTTTATATAGTATTATTTTATAAATACCACAAATTATAAAAAATGAATAATATTCAATTTTTATACCTCTCCAAGAATTCTTCATTGTTGGGAGAGCTTTCTCGATGTGTAAAATAATTTTATATATTTTATTTTAATTAAAAAGACATATATTGGATCAATGCCTTTTCAATAAAAATTTATTTATGAATTG